GACATTAATCTCACATAATCTCTTATGACACCCCTTGTCTGGTGTCAAGGTGTGTGGAAGACAACTCCAGTAACTCCCTTTGAATCCAAAACAAGTGCTGTGACTGTGATTATTTGGATTCCTTATACTGGTATGTAAAAAGCCGGCAGGGTATTTCCTTCTCTCTGTAGCCCTCCAAAACAATTCCACTGCTACCTTAATTGGCTTATGTAAATTGATCTTCTGCATATATTTAGCTCTGCAATTTACAGAGATGCCATTCTTGCACCTGGCCAGCCAGCTCAAGTTACTCACGTAATAGTAATAATTATAGTAATAATTCCCGCCATCCTGACCATCACTCATCCCTGAGCCACGCCCCTTCTTCACACCAATATAATAAATTCTGGGAGAGGCCTAGGATGAAGGCCTTTGTCCGCATGTCTTCACGGGGGATTGGACTTAGGACCCTGTGGCTGCCCTTAACCTAGAATATGTCTTGGTGTCTTCACTCTCGCCGTGGGTTGCATTGGAGGTGCTAGATTGGAACTAACTTGCTGGGATTCCAATGATGTCTCAATGGGATTACAAATACAAGTTTTGGATTTGAGGAAACTAGGAGAGGACTACAATCCTTGGATGACTGAACTCGATATTTGGTTTACAATAAGCCTGGAGCAGCAGCTGCACTGATCAGGGGCACAAGTAAGAGATGAGGTGACTCCTCAGACCCGGGCCATCAGAAAAGGGAGGACTGGCTCATGCATGTTAGGTAAACTGAGGCAGCCCGTGGGAGGAGCACTCCGCCCTGCCACCGGGAACTTGTCTCAAAGATAAAATAAAATTTTTAAAAAAAGGACTTTGCGGGGAGGAGAAGAAAGGGAAGGAGAAAAGGAATTCAGATGTGCTGTGTGCAGGCAGCACCTCCTCACCATGAATGGCATCGTGGTGCACTGCGAGCATGAGTTAATAAAAAATACTACAATGCTTTTTCTTTTTGAGACAGGGTCTCGCTTTGCAGTTCAGGCTGGCCTTGAATTCACTGTGTAGCCCAGGCTGACCTCGAAAATTCAGAAATCCTCCTGTCTCAGCCTCCCTTAGTATTGGGATTGCAAGCATGTGCCACTACACTGGCATAAAAATTATTTTAAAAGCCCACATAGTCGCTTGTCTTCCACCTACTGGCAGGTTTGGGGTTCCCGGAAGTGCAAGGTCAACAGCTGCCTCTGCACCCTGGGGTGTGAATCCCAACTCCATGCAGGAACCCAACAGACATGGCCAGGATCCGCGCTTCCGGCTGCCTGTCGGGTCTTCCCGGTGCAGTGGTGATGCGAGCTTGAACTGCAACCCTCTCCCTTGGAAGGCCTGGCTTTGAGTCCGGTTGCTAGGAGCAGGGTGCGGAGGGGGGACCCCTAACCCGAGTGGCGCATCATCATCCTTGCAGTGGCTGTGGAGAGTAAAGTGGAGGCTCCAGAGGAAGCCAGGGAGAGAGGGGTCCCCGCAGCCTAGCGCCAGGCATCCCGGGGACACTGCCAGCCCCAAGCCTGGGATCTGCAGCTTCTGGATCAAGAAGAAACGCAGGTGCGGGTAGAAGGGCCTCTTTTCCCTTCAGCCTCTACTGTTGTAAGGGGTGACCTTGTCCTCAGCTTCCCTCCCCGCCCTGACCCTTTGGCTGTACAGAAGCTCCGCTCAGGAGGTTAGGAGGTGGACTGTCCATCTGTAATCCCAGCCAGCACCCTTCGAGGCTGAGGCAGGAAGCTTACAAGGTCAAACACAGCACAGACAATTGAGAGATTTAGCAAGACCCTGTCTCAAAATGAAAAAAAAAAAGAGACAAAAGGGGGACGTAGCTCAGAGCAGAGGCCTTGGGTTCAATCCCCAGTGCTGCACAAACAAAACCCAGGGCCCCCACAGGCCCCCCGGCTCCAGTTGTGAGTGACAGAGGCCGCTGTGCAGTCTGCCTCTGCGGACGCAAAGCCTGTGGGTCTAGGCGTGGAGAACGGGGTGTCTGCAGAGCCCAGGCAGGAAGTGGTCCCAGGAAGCTGAGGTGAAGATGTTCTGGAGAAGCCGCGCCCTGGCAGGTGGCCACCCACCCAGCAGCTGTCCCCGGAAAAGCGTTCGTCACCACAGCCCCTCGCTGGAGGGCTCTGCGGAAGCCTGGCTCCTAAGGCTCACGACCTGAACTCAACTCAGCTCCTCCCCGCAGCGCACAATGCAGAAGGCTTTGGATTCCAGTGCAACTTCTATTTGCTTTGCACAAGTTGGAAAACGAGTCATAGTAAAAATCCTTTGTACAGAAGGACTGCCTGTCTCTGTCTGTGGCTACATGGAAAGGTTCCCTGAAGCCCCTAAAGGACCAGGAAAAAAGTGAAGAAGTCGGACCCAAAACTGTAGTCAAACCAGACACAGCCACGGGGCACAGCAGGAATGGGGCTTCACCCTGGAAACCCTCGAATGACAGCCTGGGAATGATACGATTTTTTTTTAAATTTCACGATGATTTCCTGTTTTAGCTGAGCATAGCAGCACCTCGGTAATCTCAGTTTTCTGGAAGGTTAAGACAGGAGGATCAAAACTTCCTGCTCAGTGTGGGCAACCTATGGACTTAGCGAGACCTTGTTTCCAAAAAAAGCGGGGGTGGTGGTTTGAGGATGTAGCCGAGTACCAAGGTCTTGGGTTGTGGCCCCCATCCCCCACAAAAACTATTTCCTGCTACATTGAAGCCATTATACTTTGCTTGTACTGACAACAACAAAGCCCTACATAAGGCAGCTTTTGAAGCTAGATGGTATATGAGGTGGAAATAACCGAAAGGTACTCTCAGCCCTTTTCTGAAGGCTCTGGGCTTTGGGAGCAGCTTTGTCTGTGTTCGCTGGCCATTTCCTTTCAGGTATAAAGGCCACAATTCCTTTCCCGCAGGGCATCCCAGGCAGAGGATCCCACCACCCAGCTGAGCCTCAGTCAGGAATCCAGTGCCTGCAGAAGTGGGGGAGCACCTGCCATGCTTCCTGAGCTAAGAGCTGCGCTACCAAAACACAGGTTTGGTTTAGAAGTTTATGCCTAAGTCCTTTCCCTTGTAAGACAAAAGAGAAGCCAGGCGCGGTGGCACATGCCTGCCACCCCAGCACTTGGGAGGTTGAGGCCAATCTGAACTACATAATGAGACCCTGTCTCAAAACAAAACAAAACAATAAGAAGAGAACAGCAGGTGATGAGATTGGTCCCCTGATGTACTCCATTGTGTAAATGTGGGGTGGTTTGTTTCCTGCTGTAAACGCTGGGCCACCCTTTGTCCTTTTACTTTGATGTTGTAGTCACATCAGGCATCTCTTTCCTAAAGCAAAGCAGCTTTGACTGAGCAGAGACCTGCTAAGGAGAACAAGCTCCCACAAGGATGCCTCTCCTTTTCCAGAGCCCCCACCCCTACACCTGAACATGCAAAGTCCACATAGCCTCATCTCGGAGGAATACGTGCTGGGGCCCAGGTTTTAGCTCACAGGCACAAGCGCCTGCCTGGCAATAAAGGAATGCATGTTGGACAGTGTGTGCCTGTGCACAGGTAACCCTAAAAATACACACGCGCTCCCATTTGTTTGTTTGTTGCCTTTTTGAGACAGCTTCTCACAATGCAATTCAGGCTGGCCTTGAATTTACTTTGTAGCACTGATTGGTCTTGAATTTGCAACAGTCCTCCTGCCTTGGCCTCCAGAGTGCTGGGTTTATGTGCACGTGCCACCACACCTGGCTAGGCCCTTTCTTTCTTTCTTTCTTTCTTTCTTTCTTTCTTTCTTTCTTTCTTTCTTTCTTTCTGTTTAAAGCTAGGGAACTTGGAATCAAACTCAGGACTTTGCACTTGCCAGGCAGGCTCTTATGCCACTAAATCTCTAGCCCCACACCCTTTCTTTCAAAATGCTGTGACATGAGTCTTTCCTACCACAAACACAGGCAAAAGGAAAAGGACCTTCAATTATTTTAACTTGAGTATTTTAAAGTTTTGACATTGATTACTTTTTCATCTAACGATTTTCATTTTCTAAAAATTGTTTGATTCTTTTTGGTAGCACTGGGTATTAAACCCAAGGACTTAATACTGCACTATATCTGCAGCTCTTTTTAAAACTTTTTAATTTAAGGGTTGGGGATTTAACTCAGTGGTGTAAACGCCTGCCTGGCAAGCCCAAGGTTATGAGTTCGATCCCTGGTACCAAAAAAAAAGGGTTTTTTTTGTTTTTTGTTTTTTGTTTTTTAACTTTGAGACTCGATAAATTGATAAGCTGCCAAGGCAGAACTCAAATTTATGATCATCCTGCCTCAGTCTCCCAGAGTACTGAGATTACAGGTATGTATCCCCACATGCAGCTTATTTATACAATGTTATAGCCTTCGTTCATAAGGCTTCTACCAGAATTTTTTGAACTCATATTTGTAAAACTTAAGTATAGTACCATTTTCTTTCTTTTGAGACAAAGTCTCCAAGTCTGTGTAGTCCAGGCTGGCCCTGAACTAGGTAGTCCAGGCCAGTCTCCAACTCACATAATCCTCCTGTCTCAGCCTCCCGAGTGCTGGGATTATAGGCATACACCAACATGCTCAGCCAAAATTTTAATTTATTGCAATTACTTAATTTAACTGCATGCGGCCAGAAGATACTACATCGGACAAAGCAAATCAGAGATTAATTTCTGGTAACAACATGCCAAAAACTTTCAAGCCCCAACATTAAGCTAAATATATCTTCCCTGTCTTAGTATGGGGAAGTAAACTAACTGAGGGTTAGTGACTGGGCAACTTTGCCCGAATGAAAACATCAGTCCCAGCCCTCTCTAGAAACCCTGCTTCCGGATGAGCTAGCAACCCTTTTTGTGTTGTTGTTGCAGGTTTTTTTATTTTACTTTTGGTCTTTTTGAGACAGGGTCTCACTATGTAGTTCAGGCTGGCTTGAACACACTTTGTAGCCCAGGTTGGCCTCGAACCCATGGTGATCCTCCTGCCTCAGCCACCCAGGCACTGGGATTACAGACTTGTGACACTGTTAGGCTGTTCCTTTTTAAGAATTTATTTTTTTTTAGGAGTACATGTTTGCAGGACATAAGAGTGGCATTCACTGTGGGGAGCGCGTGCATATCCATCACACATTCCGACTCTTTTTGGGAGTGTCACCTTGGCTGACACAGCCCTGAACAAGTTTCTGGGTTCTTGTGCACAGTGGACAAAAAAATGGACGTGGCCTGCAACAGTAAGGAAGAAGCAGGAGAGTTTAGCAAGGTCTGATGAGGCGATGACGCACTCTGAATGTGCTGCCCTAGGGATGCAAAGGGAACGAGCAGGGGCGCTGAGGGCCCCGGTCCACGGTGCTTCCCACTGGGTCTTCCAGAGTGTGATTGACAGCATGATTGGCAGAGTGCTGAGTGACGTCCGCTGCCACGTCATCCTTTCCATGATGCTCACTGGAACCCTAGCCAGTGCTGGCCTCTGGGAAGCTCTGTTCTTCCTAAGCAGGAGGGTGGTGGGCTCCATGGGGCCTGTGTGCCTGTGGTTTTGGCTGAAATTGCCTGCAGGGAGGGATCCAGGTGGAAAGAAAAGCATCCCCCAATCCCAAATCTTAATGGACCCCTCCAGGTTCTCCAGGTCTCACCCCAAACTTTCACCAGGGGCTTCAATACAGTGGCACTGAACCTGGGTAGGGGGTCCCTCTGGGATGGTCCTCAGGTCTAACCTTGTGTTGTATGTCCCAACACAGGCCCATCCTTGCTGCCCTGCGACACTTACATTATGCTCTGTACTTTTTTTTTTCTTTCTTTCTTTCTTTTTTTTTTTTTTTTGAGACAGTCTTGCTATGTAGCTCAGGCTGGCCTCAGACTCACATCGATCTCCTGCTTCAGCCTCCAGAGTGCAGAGATTACAAACACACACCACTATGCCATGCTAGGGAGTCGCCTCTGGTCCACCTTTGTCCACAGAGCAGAGTGTGGGTTACCACAGCCCTTCCCCGGGTCTTGCACTGTGGAGGGACCAAAAGTTCCAGCCCTCTCCTGTCCTGTGTGTCTTTAGGTTTCCCTAAAGTATGCTGACAACATGTACAAACATGACCACATGTGACCGTGGTCAGGTCTCCCAGGTCTGCATTAAGGAGCTGCTGAGCACATACTTGTCAGGTGACTCAGAATCCTGGGGACACTGAGGCCCTGCCCAGCCAGGGAACTGATGTCAACATCACCACTTCACAGTGGTGTCACAACCATCAGCATGCTTTAAACATTCACAACAGGAACAGGATTCTTTCTCGTGTTGAGACGGGTTCTCACTATGGAGCCCAGGCTAACCTCGAACTCATAGCAGTCTTCCTGCCTCAGCCTCTCAAGTGCTGGGATTACAGGTGTGTGCCAGCACACCTGGTTCTGAGCCCCTTCTTAAATTTTTAATTTTTTTTAAATTTTGAGACAGGGTTTCACTAAGCTGCTAAATCAGATTGCCCAGGATGGGCCAAATTTGCGATCCTCTTTCCTTCAGAATAGATTTTTTGAGGCCTTTAGTCAACATCTTTCTATACTTGGGGATCACTTTCCCCCAGTCCTATAAATTGCTTTCTATTGAGTCAATTTGGTGAGAGTAACAGACATTATGTATAAAAATGGTTCTTAGATTATAGTTTAGCCAGGAGTGGCAGTGCACACTTACAATCCCAGCACTTGGGAGGCTGAGGCAAGAGGAGTTCGAGACCAGCCTGGACTACATAGGGAGAGACCCTGTCTCAAAAAAATAAAGTTAGCCAACCTTACTGCTGAGGACAACAAAAGGATTCTAGAAACAGGTCACCTGCGTTTGTTACCTTATGTAAAGGCAAAACAGCCTCAAGCTGAAAGGTGATCACTGGTCATCTGCAGGTGTCAAGTTGGTATTCGCTGCCTGTGCCACCTGGAGCTCTTCTGCAGGGCTCCGCGGGAACTCAGGTTTAACCTTGAGGGCCGCCTGAGTCCTGGGTGACCTCAGTGTGCAGTTCGAGTCCTAAATTGGAGCGCGCGCTATGCACAGCGAATGCAGCTCGTTGTTATTTAACGTGAATGCAGGGACGTTTCCTGCCCGCATTGGAAGCAGAGCACCTAGGGACTTCTTTGCCTAAGGGTCCCCCACTCTTTCAGTCGTTGCCGTCGGAGGGCACCGCAGCCGGCTGTTGCCCAGACCCCTGTCGCTGGGGCACGCAGCCCCGCCGGCCTTGCTAAATTCGCGTGGCGCCCCGCGGCCGCAGAGGTCGCCTTTGCTTCCTCCTCGTGGGGCGGTCCGCTCCGGACTTTCCCTTCTGCCGGCGGGGGGTGGGGAGAGGGTTGGGGTGGGCAGGCCGAGGGCTTCTGCTCGGCCGCAGCGCCTGAGTCACAGCGCTGCGCCCAGTGGCGATGCCACGCCGGGCGTATAGGACCCGGGCTCAGCTGTGCGTCCTAACATCTGTCTGTCCGTCCGTCCCTCTCCGACTCTCTCAAACTCCGGCCTCTAAGCTCTGACCCTTTGCACACAGGAAGCCAGGACGAATGGCCGCCGCAAAGCCCACCCGGTGGGCAGAGGTCGCCCGGAGCCGCCCCTTCCCTCCGGGAGCTCCTCGGCTCCCCGCTCGGGGCGCTTTGGTGCTGCCGGCCGGGGTGGGGGTGAGCAGCGCATGCGCATGCGCGGAGGAGGAATCGCAGCGTGCGGGGAGCGCCCGGGATCGGGATCCGGATCGGGATCGGGATCGGGATCCGGAATGCAAACAAGGAAGCTTCCTGCGCGGGGACGCTCAGGTTCAGAAGCGGCTGCCGGCAGGAGCTGGGCACTGGTCTGCCTTCTGCTCAGGTCCACGCGGAACTTGCAGGCCTTCTTGGGATCCGAGCGGAGAGGAGCTATGACACTCACTCTCCTGGCTCACGGGATGCTTATGCAGAAAGCCAGAGCTGGCCGGGCACAATCCCAGCACTCTGGAAGCCTAGAGGCCAAGGCAGGAAGATCATCTGGAGTCTGAGGCCAAAATTCAGAAAAGTCTGTTTCTCTCCTATCACAATCTGGAGATGAGAGTGGTCCAGCTTTCCCTTCCGTTGTCTTAAAGCCATAGGGGGGATTTTGAGACAGGGTTTCACTACGCTGCTAAATCAAATTGCCCAGGATGGGCCAAATTTGCCATCCTCTTTCCTTCAGAATAGATTTTTTGAGGCCCTGAGCCTTGCATTGCAGGAGGAGAGGCCTGGGGGTGGCAGGGGCCAGCGGTGGAAGCACCCCCTTGTGCTTACCACCGGGTCACTGCAGGCACCCGATTGTGAGGAAGACGAGACACCGTCTTTGCCGAGGCAGTGTGTGCAGAAGACAGATCTTGTGCCTACGGGAAGGGGACCAAAACATGTTGTGGGAGTGAAAGAATCAGGAGGTGTCAGGTGCTGTACCAGAGGCCCACAGAGAAAGTATGCCTCATGCAAACGCCTAATAGTAATACTACAAAGTCACCAGGGAAATAGCTGCTGAGACAGAGAGCTCCGGAGCATTATGTAGGCAGGCTCAGCGCACCTGAGTGCATTCATTATTTGATGCTTTTTTTTGTTTGTTACTCCCTATATAGTCCAGGCTGGCCTCAGTGTCTCAGCAGCCCTCCTGCCTCTGCCTCCCCAGTGCTGGGGTGGCAGGTGTGCACCACCAAGACTGATGACAGCATACTTCCGTTTAAAGTGTTGATAAAGCAATCTACATCTGGCTAAAAGTTTGGCAGAAAATTGAAATTATTAAAATCTAAGATAATCTGCATATCATCATTTGAATTCTTAATAGAACATAAACGTGTTACCTATAACCACAGGTCTTATAGCTACCTATACTCTTAGGGGTGCGTTCTGGGGATTGAACCAGCAATTCACACTGAGCTACACCCGAATCTGACTTTTTAATGTTTCATTGTGAGATAGTCTAGCTGCATTGCCCAGGTCTGGCTAGAAATGGCAAACTTCCTGCCTCAGCTTCCATGAATGCTACTATGTACTATCATAATTGGCCCTAACAACTTCTTTATCCCAATCTGGATGGATGATATTGTAGGTTTATGTTAGGAAAGTAAAGGTGACCCCTAAGACTCCGTTTAGCACTTTGGAGTCCCACAAAAGAAAGAAGTGATAGACCAAGGCTGCATTGTTGTTATTGAAGTTATACTGAGCATCCTGTTTTGAAGAAATTCTTACCCACACTCACATGTGTTTGTACATTTTAAGTAAGAGATTTCGATGTTTTTGTACTCCTTCCCATAAAGCCAAGTGATATGTGGACGCTTCTCAAAAGCTCATTTCCTGAAAGCTAAGGTATTTAGGAGTGGAGATGTAGTGCTATGGAACAAAATCAGAAAGTTCCTAGTTTTTATGAAGGAGAAACTGTGCCAGTCTTTGTAGAATAACCTACTCTAAGACTTTCCACCAGCTCTGATTTTGGACCTTGTGTTGTTTTCTGTTTTGAGATGGGGTAGTGGGGTCTCACCAAGTTACCCAGATGGGTCTGGAACAGTTGGTCCTCCTGCCTCAGCCTTCCTAGTGTTGGGATGACTGGTGTGCCCCAGTGCAGGCTTTCACTAAGAAGGTTCTGGGCACCTTGGCTGTTTACCACTACTGGTGACTTAACTGAGGTGAATCCCACCCCCTCGTCACCTGCATAGCCCAGCACCTTGGATATCTGCACAGACTCCATCCAGGCGATGCTGGTGCAGGCTGATGTGCAAACTCGGTACACAGTGGGTGGGACTCAAGGAGGAAGAGGAGGAGGAGGAGGAGGAGGAGGAGGAGGGAAGATGGTCCCTGCATCAGAGAGAGCTCACTGTGGATCCCTTTAAATAGCTCTATGGCTGAGCACAGGCCTATAATCCTAGCAGTCCTAGAGGCTGAAGCAGGAGGATAGCAAGTTCAAGGTTCCTACACACAGTTGCTAGGGTAACCTAGCGATTTTGGTAAGATCTTATCTCAAATTTAAAAATTTTTTTTTAAATTGGGAGTAGAGCTGGGTGTGGTGGCGCATATCTGTAATCCTAGCACCTGAGACTCTGAGGCAGGAGGATCACTGAGAGTTCAAGACCAGCCTGGGCTACAAAGTGAGCTCAAGGCCAACCTGATCTGTCTGAAAAAGACAAATAAATTAAATAAATAAAGCTGGGGAAGTAGCTCTTACTGTTATGGGGTTTTTTGCTTTTTTTTTTTTTTTTTTTTTTTTTTGGCTGTTATTAGTTCTTTAAACAAAACTATTAAGGGCCACAAAAACACAGGTGTGACTTCCTGACTTTCCAGTTAATGCAGCCCCCACCGGAAGCGGCAGTATGGATGACCTCTGTGATGTCATGGTGATGTATAGATTTTGGTTCTCCGGTTTCCTGATCATAGCCTCCTCTCCAAGCTCAGCCAAGAAAAATAGCATTTCCCTTGCCGGACATGAATCTTCTGCTGCCTTAACTCTCACAGCCAATTTAGGAAATTCTCTGACCTACCCTATATGGCAGAGGTCAAAAGGTGGCCTCCCTGTAGGGAGTCCTGCCCCACACCCCCAGAGAGTAGAATATGCAGAGAGGCCAAGAATTTTTATGATCAGCCCATTATAAATTTTCCCTGAGGGGCTGGGGATTTAGCTCAGCGACATAAGCACCTTCTTGGCAAGTGCAAAGTCGTGAGTTCAATCCCTGGTACCACCAAAAAAAAATTTTTTTTTCCCTGAAAGCCAGGTGTGGTGGTGAACTCCTGTAATCCCTGCACTTGGGAGGCTGAGACAGGAGGATGGCCACAAATTCAAGACCAGACTGGGCTGTGTAGTTCAGAGCCAGACTGGACTACAGCAGAGCCTCTGTCAAAAAAATCAAAAAGAAAATATTTGAGTTCTATTAAGTTAACCAAACCTGATGTGAGGCTGGTATAAGCCCAAGTCATAGAAGCACAGGTAAAAATAAAGCAGCATTGGACAAAGCCCTCAGCCTGCAGGGTCAAATAGATGCTGGTGTCACATGGACAAGGTCCAAACTGGGCTGGATACTAGGTGTCCACTGCCACAGGAATTGCTTGCTTGCTAATGGGGAAAAATCCCTATAGTTTTTTTTAAGTCTCACTATGTAGTTTAGACTGACCTTGAGTTCACACTATGTAGCCCAGCTGGCCTCAAAAATCCCAGGAATCCTCCTGCCTCAGCTTCCCAAGTGCTGGTTTTGTGATTGTGCTTTACTTTGCCTGATTTCTGGTAGCACTGTGATAGGAATTGTGACACCTTCCTGAAATATCAGTATCCTCTTACACCCATCTGCTTTTGTGTCACAAAATATAAAAATAATCCTTTGCATCTGTTTCCAGTATTGATTTATGGAAAATGTGGCACATGAATGTTTGTAGTGCTTAGTACTTTGGCACAGCATGTTCTTTGATCCTAATTTTCCCAGGGGCCAACCCACAAGAACTATGGCAGTATGTGACTAGAAATAAAGAGCAAAATGGGTAACTGGAAGTAGGGCGATGTTCTCAGGTGAGAGGGGGCACCGGGAGGTGGTGAAAGGCGGCTGCGTCATGCATGTGACCAGCTCCACTCAAAGGATGCGAGCCGCACTGCAAACTGCACCAGTAAAACCGAGTGGCAGAGGAGCCGGCCAGCTGTGAACAGCAGCAAGCAAATTCAGCAGCGTCTCCTCCCTCGCCTCTCTCAGTCCACAGCTGGCGGCTTCCTGTCAGGCAGCCCGGGCCTGCAGTCTCTCTGTTAGCGCAACCCACTTCTCCCCTGCACAGGGCTGCCAGGTTATGCAAAAGAAGAAAGTGTAGACATGGAAATGGTGCTAGCTGGGTGCTGTGGACACCAGGGTGATTACAGAGTCCACCTTGTGAGCAGCCTTCTGTCCCCCAGCTGTGAGTCTTCATAGAGTGCAATGCCCAATAAGATGAAGCTGTGGTATTAGAAAGCCAGAAAACCACAACAGCTAAATGGAACGCAAGATGTGTGGTGCACACCTGTGACCCCAGCCATCGGGAGCCTGAGGCAGGAGGGTTGCCATGCATTCAGGGCCAGCCTGGGCTACATAGTGAGACCCTGTCTCAAAAATAACAAAACAAACCAGAAAGTAAACATGGCCAATTAAAATAATTAAATTTAAAAAGAGAAAGTAAACGTGGCTGAGTCAGCCAATGGCTTCCTGCAAATGCACTGTGCTTTGCCAGGCTCTGACCTCAGGCTTCTCTGGGGGCTTAGGGAAGCAGAATCACTGGTGAGCAGAGACTGTGAGAATGAGGGGGCTGAGGAGGGAAGAGAAGGTACCCCGCTGCCTCCGCCTCCCAAACCCTGCAAATGGCAAAGGACCAGAGTCTCTTAGGGAAGGTCCTGCACCAAGGACAGCAGCCACTTCCAGTGAGTGAAAGAGACACTTTGAATCCTGGGAAAGGAAAGGTCACTCTACAAGTACCCCGAGACAGTGGCTCAGTCTTTATAGCAGAAGACCATCGTGCCCTCCTGCCAGACACCAAGTTAAATTCCCCTTGGGTGAAAACCAAGGACATCTCTGGGAGTGGTGGTGCACTGCCATCATTCAGAAGGCTGAGGCAGGAGAATCACCAGGAGTTCAAGGCCAGCCTGTACTACATAGCAAGACCCATCTCAAAACAAAAAAGTCCCAAGAACACCTGCACATACATGCACACATACAAGAGCTAGTGTGAGCACACGGAAATCAAGCTGAGCTAGTGTACACCAGTCATCCAGCACTGGGGAGGCTGAGGCAGGAGGATCAAGATTTCAAATCAGCTAACCCAAATAACATCATGAGACTGTCTAAAAAAAAAGACATGAAGGAAAAGGAAGAAAGAGACAGAGAGAGGAAGGGAGGGCAAACTATATTGACACCAACAGAGAATCACCGAATATTTCTTTCACTGTGATGGTGCACAACATTGTAAGTTTAAGAGCACTGTAAGAAATCCCAAGGGACATGATTATGCCATCCGGCTGGCTTGTACCAATGTTAGTGGAAAATTAAGAAAACCCTAAGGAAAGATTCAAATGTCTATCAGGGTGACATATAACAGATAAGTCGATACCTTTTAAAATGCTCCGTGAACATTTTAGCTCTGCAGCGTAAGCACCTGTCTGGCAAGCGCGAGGTTGTGAGTTCGAAAACTGATACCAAAACATAAAATTCTCCAGGAGGCATAGTGGTGCAGGCCTGTAATCCCAGCACTGGGGGAGGCTGAGGCAGGAGGATCATGAGAGCTCAAGGCCAGCCTGGGCTATGTAGTAAGACCCTTTCTCCAAACAAACAAACAAGACACCTTGTCCCAAAACAGAAAATAAAAAGAGATGTCAGGGGAATGCAGATGTCGGGTGCTGCTGCTAGGTTCAGTCTCCAATAAAACAAACACACACACACAGGCATGCGTGCGCGCTATGAACACATTCCTCTCACTCGACGACTCCGGTGCAGGAGCTTCTGCAGCGTGCCTTCCTTCAGTGAGTTAGCCAGAGCGCTTGCTTTTCCTGAGCTGGCAACTGACAGGGAGCAGGAAGGAGGACCATCGCCTTGCGCGGCAGCAGCCCTGAGAACCTTTCTGGGAAGCAGCCATCCTTGCCAGCACTGTGAAGTGTTTATGTGCTCTGGCCTGCACTCTCTGCTTCCAGGAATCTGTCATCAGCAAGGAGCTCAGAATTCATGAGCTCCTGATGCACCTTTCAGCACTGCTGTCTGCAGCCCCGCCTGTCACCCGGCCAGGCCTCTTTGCCCGAGTGGGCTCTGAGGGCTCCTGGTGTTTTGTTTTGAGAACGGGTCTAAGATGCCCAGGCCAACTTTGAAGATCTTTCTAGTTCTTTCTTTTCTCTTTCTTTCTTCCCCTCTTTTCTCTTCCTCCCTCTTCCTTCCCTCCTTCCTCCCTCCCTCCCTCCCTTCCCTCTTTGTGTTTCAGGCTGGTTTCTTTAGAAACAACTCCGCCAATCCAAAGTATTCCAGATCTTTCTGGCACCGAACAAAGAACTGGGTGAGACAAGTCCAAAACGGTTTCCAATGTTTATTTGAAAAGTGCGGGGTTAATGGATATGGAAGAAACCAGCTCTGCAGAGCGAATTTGGGCCAAACAAAGAAAAAAGACAAAGGCAAAAACAAAAATGAAAGCACACAGCTCTCTAGCAGAGACGGCACGGTGCCGGCACAGACCAGGACGTGGGTTCCCCCAGCCGGGCCGTTTTTGCCATCCACCTCTGACGGGCACTCGTGGAAGTTCTCTGTGGTGCCCTGGTTGCCTGGGATCTTGTGACTCACAGGCCCCGCTGGTCCCACAGCCTGGTTCACCCCACCCTGTCTGCGGTCACACCTCCAAGGGTCTGACTGTGTAATCTATACTGGCCTTGGACTCTGTGTAGCCAGACTGGCTTTAAATTCATGGTTCTCCTGCCCTGGCTCCTGTGTGCTGTGCGTACAGGCCTGCGCCATCACACCTAGCAGTATTGCTTACTAAAAATAAAAGGGAGTGTGCTGTGGTCCCCTGCCCTTTTCAACATTCTGAGCACCTACTGCGTGGCCCACACGGGGCCAAAGCGGAAGATGCTCCTGGGACAGGTGCCATCTAGTTAGTTCCCATGGGTAGTTCTTTGTTTTGTTTGGAAGCGCTGGAAATTGAGCCCGGGATCCTCCGACTGAGCTACAGCCTCAGCCTATATTTTAAATTATGAGACAGGGTCTCATTAATTTCCCGGGCTTAGACTGGAAGTCATAATCCTCCTGCCTCAGCCTCCGGGAGTGCTGGGATTACTGGGGGTGGGAATGGACTGCTCCTGGCTGGATGCCACGTAGACAAAGCAAGCCTGGCCCATGGAGAGGACAGGGTCCATCACAAGGCCATGGCCAGGAGCAGGGACAAGGACTGTCCTGCTGGACAGAAAGCCTGGAGTTACATCCGCAGCTGTGGTCCATTGGGCTCCAGAGTGTGTGTACGCATATGTGAGTGTGTGTACACATATGTGCATGTGTTAGCGCATATGCACATGTGTGTCTTGAAGAAAACAGCAAAGATATCGCAAAACACACGTGAGGTTGGCTTTTCCAAAGAACTTTGGTTATAGTGTGGCCAAGACAGATTTATTATCATGATTACTTTTTATTTTATTTTATTTGTCTTTTTGAGACAGGATCTCACTGTGAAGTTCAGACTGACCTTGGGCTTACTTTATAGCCCAGGCTGGTCTCGAACTTTCCAATGATTGTCCTGCCTCAGCCTCCTGAGTGCTGGAGTTACAGGAGTGCACCACCATGCCTGGCTTATCATTATTACTTTTAATTGCAATTTTGTTTTATATTTTCTTGACACATACTAATAATTGTACATATTTATGGGTTATAACACAGATGTATGACTTAAAAAATAAACTCTTTGATCCATGTCATAGTACATGGAAAAAAGATGACATTTTATACATAATATAAGCATGAAATGACCATCAATAAGATTATTTAGGAAGAGTTCATAATGACAGGGGAAAGTGCTTATGACATAAAATCAAATCAAAGAAGAAAAGAAAGTGCCAAATTATCTAGATGGTGTATGGTTAGTTTTGCCTAAATGTACACTGTCGAAGAAACAAGACACACAGCTGTCATGCTAGCACTCTAGGAAGCTAAGGCAGGAAGACGCAACTTCCCAGGGAATTTAGCAACTTAGCAACAAGACCCTGCTTCAAAATGTAAAAAAAATTAAATAAATAAAGTGAACATGTAACTTAGAACAAAGGCCGTGGGTTCAATCCCTAGTGTGAGGTCTGAAAAGAAGGGGAAGAAGAGGGGAAGGGAAAGAGGGAGAGGAAGAGGTCCGTGGAAGGAGTGGAGTGGACGGCAGTGAAAGTAGTGGGCGGCGGTGGCTTTATTTCGGGAATGCGGGGAGAGACACACACACACCCCCCTCCCTGGCCCGGGCGCAGCATCTCCACTGCACCCGGGGCGGGCGGTCTCTCTCTGGAACACACTCTCCCTTTCTCCTTCTTCTTCTTCACACGTGGAGTCAGGCCCATAAGTAACCTCTGTCTGGGGCGGACCCCAAGGGGCATTAGGGATGCACAGGTATTTCATTGGCACACGTTTTGGTGCCAGGGTTACAGGGATGGGGGTATAGGGTTACAGGCAAATCTATAGGGCTGCGGCTTTTCCTGGTTCAAGTGTCCGGTCTGGGCCAGCTACTCTTTCACCTAGTACCACAAAACAAAAACAAAAATATACTCTGCACTGCTCACAGTGAGATCTCTGTAAAGTAACAGATTCCCCGTTCTTTCACACTTTAAGTCTCCAAATGGAAAGGCTAACACTTTTTACTTTTATACATGCTTATTACATGCATCCCTAGTCTTCGGATGTTAAGATCTCAATACCCTTAGTTCAGTACCTAGCATGTGATACATCACAGAAATGTCACAGAATCAGCGAGTGAAGTGACCAGCTCCACTGCCAGCACGCACGCATGGGGTTAGCACTCTTAAAATGTCTGTGAGCCTGAAATCCCTGCACTTGGAAGGCTGAGGCAGGAGGATCACAAGTTCAAGGCCAGTTTGGAACTACAAATAAGACCCTGTGAAGGGAAGGAATGAGGGAGGGAGCGAAGTGGGGGGAGGTTAACCCACCGCGTGTGCCAGCCCCGATGATTGTCAGCTGCAGTATTCACGCTCATAAGTTATGATTACTGTGGAAGTGTGGAGCCGGTTAAGCCGCCTGGGAAGCACACACACGGGAGGCCGCAGTCTCCATCTGTGTCCTTCGCGCCACCACCGCTGACTTCTCAGGCCTCGGCGAGGGGCGCCCAACGCCAGGCTTTTATTTTTCACACCGAGAGAGGAGGAGCCGCAGGCGGATTCAGGAAGACGCCAACATCGGAGACAGCAGCTTCGGCTCCAGGTTCTTCTCCGCCCCAGCTAAAAACGCACCAGAGCCCGGAGGCGTCACCTGGCGACGTGAACAGGAAGCCGCTCGCGCGCCGCGCTGCGGGCGGTCTGCGGGACCTTCCCGGTGACACCGCCGGTGCGCACGGCGAGGACTCGGGCAGGCCGGTCTCCATGGCAACGTTGTTGTTGCCAGATGACGGGATCCAGCACAGCAGGAAGAGGGAGTTCCCGAGGCCGAGCGTCAGCACAACACCTCGGCAGCCTGGCAACGGCTGTTTGCCCTGGAGTGGATGGGGCGACGGGGAGGCGGGCGGGGAGCGGAGCCTGCTGCCCAGGAGGGGATCCCCAGCGACGACCGCGGAAGGCGGTGCCCTAACGCAGGCGGACCGAGAGCTCGAGGGGAGCTTGGAGAACTTACTGAAGCTGTCTCAAGACAGTTGAACAAACATACAAAAAATAAAAAAAAAATCTAGGCGCGGTGCACATAACCTCCATGCAGGTAATTTGAGAGGCTGAGGCAGAAGAATCTCCAGTTCAAGGCCAGCCTGAGCAACACTCAGTTTTGCCGTGTTGTGTTGTGTTGTGACAGGGTCTTGCTATAGCCTGGCCTCAAACTCACAGTGATGCTTCCGCCCCAGCCTCCTGAATGCTGGGATTACAGGCGTGAACCACCATGCCTGGCAGTCAGACCCTGCCTTGAAAGAAATATGAGGATGTAGCTCAATGGTAGCACAACATTGGATTGGGTCCCCAGTACCAAACACACACACACACACACACAATATATATATATATATATATATATAACTGATGTTTCTGTATCCTGATAAGGCTGTGTTCAAACTAAAAATATGATTCCTTGATTTTTTCTTTGATGCTGAAAGACCGCTGTCCACTCACTGCTCTCGGGAGCTGTGGTCTCAGCATCCGGAAAGCGTGTCTGAAGCAATGTCTGTCTCAGGGCTGCGCCTGTGCCTGGGTCCCGTTGTCACAAACCTCACTACTTTGGAGCATTTGTCAGAAGCCACCAACCAGGAGCAAGGCCTCTCTGCCTCTTCTTCCCCCTAATGTCCCTTTTCTGTTCCAGTCTCTCACCGAGCAGTCCTGTCCCCTGGGCTCCTCCTGACAGCAACATTTCCCTGAGATTTGATGAACTTGAACATTTTGAAAATCATCAGTCAGGCCTAGGTATGGCTGCCACACCTGGAACCGCAGCACTTGGAGGCCGAGGCAGGAAGATCCAAGTTGGAGTCCAAACTGGGAGACATGGTGAGACTCTGCCTCAAACAAGAAACAAACAAAATAACCAGTCAGGTATGGGGCGTGATGTCCTTTGTACAGGGTTGATCTGGTGTTTTCCTCGTGAGCAGCCCAGGTTAGTGGGTAGGGGAAGCTGCCCATAGCTGCGGTCACACCGCAGCGAGGCTCCTGCGGCCACCCTTCGGCCTACCAGAAGTGACTCCCTTCAGTCAAAGCGGCCGTTCTGGGAGTGTGACCATTATGGAGCGCACCCCTGTCATCCCAGCACTTGGGAGGCTGAGGCAGAAAGATCATTTCGAGATGGAGGCCAGACCGGGCTACACAGTGAGTTCAAGGTCAACCCGAACTGCATAGTGAGACCCTGTCTCAAAAAACCAAAACCTCAAAGGTAACACTGGCACCGGGCGGATCCTGCAGGTGGCAGCCCAACAAGTCTTTCTTCTCTGACTCGGACGCACCTGGGCTGAGCCACACATGTGGTTGTCGGCTCCACCCAGCCTCAGGGTTACCTGTTCACCTGTCCAGCCTGTGCCCCAGCACTGCAGTGGTAAAGGCCTGCAGCTGGCTCAGCCAAGAGACAGGGGAATGGTGCCGGGAGAGGCTGGACAGGGTCCTCTGCCCTGCCCTCAGCACAGAGAAGGCCTCCAGTCATGCCGCCCTGCTTCAGCCCCTGCCGCCTTTCCCCTCACATTCTGTTTTTGTTGCTTGCTTGTGTCAGGGTCTCACTATGTTGGCCTGGAACTCGAGGCAATCCTCCTGCCTCAGCCTCCCCTGTGCTAAGATGACAGGCATGCACCACCATGCCTGGCTCAACTCTGGAAAGACAGCTCCGTCAGTAGCCTGATTTCTTAGAAACCATCAAAGAAGACTGACTGTGGGGAATTTCAGAGTTGGTACCAGCCTAAAGGTCTGCGGGGGAAGTGGTTTCCAAACTTTTTCCTAAGCAGGTCTCTTTTTTAAAGGGAAATCTTATGGGAAAATTCAATAGAACAAAAAGAGAAAGAGGGCAGTGGGGCAGGGCTGGGATGCGGAGCCGCACTGCTCCCCCTGGTTCCCTGCGTGCATGGATGCTAGGAAGCCAGGTCCCGCGGACAGTGTGCTCCACCTCCCTTGAAGCCTGGGAAGGTGCCAAACCTCCTCCAAGGAGCCTCTCCTCCTCTCCCAGATACGGCTTTCCAAACAGTGCGCATCCCCACCGTGCCTAACCATCACCACAAGCTGTTTGTTTTTTGAGTCATTGTATCACTACATAGTATGAGTCTGAATTTGAACTTACTAGGTAGCCTAGACTGGCCTTGAACTCTTAGTGATTCTCCTGCCTCAGCCTCCTGAGTGCTGGAATACAGGTATGCACCACCATACCCGCATCAGAGGAGCTTTTAAAAGTTCCACTGCACAGGGGATGCTTGAAGGTTTGGGTTCCATCCCCAGCACAGAGACAGAGACAAAGACAGACACACATAGAGAGACAGAGTACGAAAAAGTTTCGGTGCCTATACCAAATCCTGACACCTTCTAGCGTCTCCTGCAGGCCTAGGTGTGGGCTCCTCCTGACAAAGGCTAAGCACAGCCCCGCTCTTACCTGCTCCCACAGGGACGAGGGTTTGAACGTCTCCTGTCCTATCCGCTGTCTGTTGGGAACATTCACACCCCAGAACTAAACACAGCTCAGCTCTCACGAGCTGTGCTGACAGAACAAAGGCAAAGTCTGTAAGTGCTGGATGGATGTGACACCACGTCTTGGCTTTCCCCAGGTAACTAAAATGGGTTGGCACATGCCTGTCATCCCAGCCAGCAGGAGGCTGAGGCGGGAGGATCTCGAGGGTTCAAGGCCAGCCTGAACTACACAAGGAGACCTGTTCCAGTGTCCCCTCCCCAGTGATAATCAGATACGCTGTCAGCTTCTTCATGGCTCAGCAGCCTCCCTGCCACCAGCTGTTTCCACCCCTGTACTGGGCTCTGCACACAGCCTCCTCGCCCTGAGCACCCAGCTGTGCTCATGGAGTACTGAGCACTCTGGTGGCAGGAGAGGTGCTTTGCTGAGTCCCCTTCGTGTAGGCAGGCTCCCTGCCAGCCTGGCACTCAGTGCAGTGCCTACCTGGTCTGTCCTGAATGCAGTCAGATCTGCCAAGCCAAGCGGGTCCACAGAGGGTGGCAGCAGAGCCTGGCCATGGCCCAGACCATCCCCACCCAAACACGAGACTCCTCTTCATCAGGTGCTGTACAGTGACCCGGCCCAAAGTCACCTCAGCAATGTGAGCCTACATGGATGGATTCATTCATCCAGCCTGCAGACCCACAGGACAGTGCTCCCCTAGCGCACACCAGGCAGCCCTGCTGGGTCCCATCCTCTCCTTTTCATCACTCAACTCCATGCTCCACAGGGCTTCCAAACGTCCTTCCAAAGCCTCAGCTTTCCCATCTCTGAAATGGGCATAGTTAGTTAGGTGTGATGGTACACACCTGGCACCCCAGCACTCTGGAAGGCTGAGGCAGGAAGATTGCAACTTGCAGGCCAGCCTGGGCTACACTGTAGGACCCTGTCTCAATAACTTAACTAACTAGCTAACTAGCTAAATAGGCATAACGGCATCATATACCTACACAGGTGGTTCCCAAAGCTGAGTAGAAGGGTCTCCGAGTGCCCGTGAATGAGCTACTACGATATCTTGTCTGTGTGTTAGGAGTCACACGGGCTGCCGTTACCACACAGTCACACGTTCTTCCCACTATCTCAGAGTCCAGACTTTTTAGCGTCAACTTGATGCCAGTTAGGGTGACAGATGCTGGGATTTCTGAAAATCAGTGAGACCTAGAGTTGCACCATTACATGTGGATGGCACTGAGCTGTGGGTTTCTCAGGACCTGCCCCGGACCCTGTTCTCTTTCCATCTTTCTGGGAACAGGACAGACTGTGGCAGCCCTCCACTTCAGAACTTCTTTCATTGATTGACTGATTGACTGATTGATCACTATGTAGTTTAGGCTGGCCTTGAACTCATGGCAATCCTCCTGCCTCAGCCTCCTGAGTGCTGGGATTATAGGCGTACCCTTTGCTTCTGGCTTCTGCCCATCTTATCAGTGGGGAAACTGATGTGTTGTGGGGGGTAAAAGGAGACCTCCTGAGGTGGGCAGCTAGGACTTCCGTGTGACTCCTGGGCGCCCTTCTCACCTCCTCTCCTGTGACCATGTCCCTCCTGCTGCCGACATGCATGTCTGAGGCTGAGCCGGTGCCTGTGCTCTGCTGGGAGTCAGGAGCTCTGCATGCTTGTCCCCGCTCCGCCAGCTATGTCTCTCTCCTTCAGGGCTGGCACTGTGCCCGGGGCCTCCCTTGTGCTGGGCCTCCACTGAGCTAGCCCCTCCCCGCCTGTCGGCAGTCCCACTGGAGGGGAACCCTTTGCCACTCCTCGGTGCTGGGGGGCCTAGTGAGGAGGCCCAGAGATGCAGGGAGTCTAGTGAGGAATTCGCCTGAGTCCGACTACCTCAGCCTCCCAAGTGCCGGGATGACAGACCTGTGTCACTGTGTCCAGCTTGCAAGAACTTTGGAAACCATGGAGAGTGGAAATTTTAAAAAACTGAGCAACAAAACAAAAACGGAATCTTGAGGAACTGAAAATGTGTGAAGTCCAATCAGGGTATCCAGCTACAAGACAAACCCCCAAATCCCTTGGTCATACTTCCTTCAGACTCTCTGATAAGTTATTTGCACTTTGCTACTTCCAAAGGCTTATTTTCTGCCTTGAGCAGTGTTTAGATGCTCATGTGTTGCCATTGTAACTTTAACAAAGCCTGAATCATCCTATAAACTGGGCTTGCTGGTGCTTGCCTGTAATCCCAGAACTCTGGGAGGCTGAGGCAGGAGGATCACAAATTTGAGCCTGGCCCGGGTAAATCAGGGAGAACCTGTCTCAAAGTAAAGAATTAAAAAGTGGGTAGAGAGATGTAGCTCACTAGAAGGCCCTGAGCTCAAGCCCCAGTACAACAAAACATTAAAATATTAATTAGTAACTTCTGAACATATTTGTGGAGGCTGCAGTTGGTCAGTGCCTGTTAGGAGGCTGTGGGTTAGGAGAGGAGAAGGGGCGGGGCTGAGGAGGGGGCCCCGCCCCCTTGACCTAAAGACCTCTCTCTAGGCCCCGCCTCTTAAAGAGGCCACAGCTCCCAGTGATGCTCTGCTGGGTTCCAAGCCTTACACTCAGGGCTGCTTAGAGAACAGTCAGTATCAAACTGTGTAGCACCGGATCTATACGTGTGGGCGGACAGGAAGACATTTACCTACTCCCCTATTGTTGTCATTCAGC